GCTGATGATGAGGACGCTGATGAGGCTGATGGTTCTGATGGCGAACACGATGAAGATGCTGACGACGATGATGATGATGCTGATGCTGATGCTGATGATGATGATGATGATGATGATGATGATGATGATGATGATGATGATAGTGACGATGATGATGCTGCTGATGATGATGCTTATGATACTGATTCTGATACTGATGATGCTGATGATGCTGCTGATGCTGCTGATGCTGGTGCTGATGCTGATGCTGCTGCTGATGATGCTGATGCTGCTGATGCTGATGCTGATGATGATGGTGATGATGCTGATGATGATGCCGATGCTGATGCTGACGATGATGCCGCTGACGAAGATGATGATGCTGATGATGCAGATCATACTGCTTCTGATGATGATGCTGATGAGGCTGATGATGATGCTGATGATGATGGTGCTCATTATGATGCTGCTGCTGCTGATGATGCTGATGCGGATGATGATGATGCTGATGATGCTGATGATGATCATGATGCTGATGCCGATGCTGAGGCTGCTGCTTTGCTGCCGATGATGCTGATGCTGATGATGCTGATGCTGCTGATGATGATGTTGACGTCGATGGCGATGCTGATGCCGCTGCTACTATTGATGATGATGATGCAGATGCTGCTGCTGCTGATGATGATGATGATGATGATGATGATGATGATGATGATGATGATGATGATGATGATGATGATGATGATGATGATGATGATGATGATGATGATGGTGGCGGTGGTGGTGGTGGTGGTGATGATGATGATGATGATGATGATGATGATGATGCTGATGCTGATGATGATGATGATGATGATGATGATGATGATGATGATGATGATGATGATGATGATGATGATGATGATGATTATGATGATAATGCTGCTGCTGCTGATGATGATGATGATGATGATGAGGATGAGGATGAGGAGGATGAGGAGGAGGAGGAGGAGGAGGAGGAGGAGGAGGAGGAGGAGGAGGAGGTCCAGAAGCCAACGGCTACGGTTTCATGTGTACGTAGACGCTTGCAGAAGTGTCTGGCAGTGAATGACGACGAAAGGCCTTCGTAGGTCCGCACATTGGCCCGCTCGTGGCTCAGGTGCTCTGGTGCGCAATGCGAAAGAACGGCAAGCCACGCGAATAAATGCCAAGCAAACCAACGCAATGTAAAGCAATGCCGCAAAGTACAAAGTAATGGCAAGCCGAGGATGTCATGTTGCAGCTGGTCGCAACGGGGCAAGCGAAAGTTCGCACTTCTTGGGGGATGCACCGAATCCCGGGTTCGCAATCGATATTCGGGATAATGTGGTTGCGAAGCAGGGATTCGGGTCAGTTTGGTGGAAAACGCTGTGTGGGCTTTGTTGGAACCCTGGTGGGCCGGCTTGGGGCCCTTTCGAGCCGTCTTGGGGCCATCTTGGGCCTTCTAAGGACCTTGCAGGGGCTACGTGGGCCCTCCTGGTGGCCTCCCGTGGCCTTTCTGGGGGCTTCCCGTGGCCTTCTTAGGCTGCTCGCGGGGGCCTTGTGAGGGCCTGTTGGGCTGCTTCTTGGTCAATTTGTGGCTTCCTTGAGCAGTATTGGGGCCATCCAGGCCGTCTGAAGGCTCTCTTGGGGGTCTTTTGGGCCGTTTTGGGACGTGCAGGAGGCCTTTTAGGCTGTTTGGGACGCTGACAACACCCAAGCTGCGAATATAGTGGAAATGCACGTTTCCCTGCGGGAATGAAGCGATTTCTGCGTTCTGGGTGTGGGTCCAGTTCAGGGCCTTCTGGGCCGTCTTCGGGGCCTCTGGAGTCCATCTGGGTCCTTATTGGAACGCTCTTGTGCTGTCTTGGGTCTCTCTTCGGCCTCTCTAATCACCGCTCTGATCGCCTGGGGTCTGCTGGCAAGACCCGGCCAAACGCCCTGGGAGGTCCGGAACGAGACTTTTGGCGAGGGACTGTGTCCGGGGTCCTAGGAACCCCGGAGCCTGGGGGTCCCATTTTGCGAGATGGGTGGGTGGGGGGGTCCCCCCCAGCTTATATATATGTTGATATGGACACATGTATGTATGTATGTATGTATGTATGTAATGTAATGTAATGTAATGTAATGTAATGTAATGTAATGTAATGTAATGTAATGTAATGTAATGTAATGTAGTGTAATGTAATGTAATGTAATGTAATGTAATGTAATATAATGTAATGTAATGTAATGTAATGTACTGTACTATAATGTAATGTAATGTAATGTAATGTAATGTAATGTAATGTAATGTAATGTAATGTAATGTAATGTAATGTAATGTAATGTAATGTAATGTAATGTAATGTAATGTAATGTATGCATGCGTGCGTGCGTGCATGCATGCATGCATGCATGCATGTATGTGCGTATGCATGTATGTATGTATGTATGTATGTATGTATGTATATATACGTGCATGCATGCATGTATGTATGTATGCATGTATGTATGTAATGTATGCATGTATGTATGTATGTATGTATGTATGCATGCATGCATGTATGCATGCATGTATATATGTATGTATGTATGTATGTATGTATATACATATGTGGATGGGTTTATAGTTGTGTGTATATGTATGTATTTACTCACGTACATGGACAATGATCACATGTATTTATGATATACACAAACATGTAAAGAGAGAGAGAGAGAGAGTCAGACAGAGAGACGGAGAGACTGAGATAGACAAACAAGGACGAGGAGGACAAGGAGGGGGACGAGAGGATACACGCCGTAGAAAGCCGCATGGTCAGAACAGGTTTCAGTGGGCTGCTGTTGCCTCGCAGTCCGCATTGCTTGTAGTAGCGTACGGATCCAGATCACTCTCACCGTTCCTGGGTCTCTGTCGCACCTGCGTGGCACCATCGTGTGTCTGTGTGTGTGTGTGTGTGCGTGTACGTGCGTGCGTGTGTTCGTGCGCGCGTTGCCTTCTCGCTTCTGTTTTCCCTGTCCGGCTCCAGACGGCGTTCGTCGTCTATCCTGCTGCACCTTCCTCCCCATGCCTTCGCCTCCTTGCCTTCACTGCGCCCTCGCCGTACGCCTCTTCAGCCTTTTCCGCACATATCGTTTTTCCGATTCCGCGATTCGTCCTGTTCTCGGCGGGACTCCCAGCAGCACCCCCGCGCCTCACGGGAAAGTGTGTATAGGCGCGCAGATGTTTGTGTATGCGACTCGTGTGTGTGTGTGTGTGAGAGAGAGTGTTTGCGTGTACCTTCGAACACCCCTCACATCGCAAGTTTGCAAATGACTTTGACGTAGCCACTCGTAATTTTCATCGCGACTGTGGTTTCCACATCGCCGGCGGAGTTACAACATGTATGTGTGTGTGTGTCCACTTTGCCAGAGTAATCCCTTTGCCTAGCCGCCGACGCAGAAAGTGTGTGTGTGTGTGTGTGTGCTTGTGGGTGTGTACTGGACGGCCGCGTGGCTTCGTTGCCCCGCCTGCGACGTTCAAAAGTGCGTGGGTGTTTGGCTGTGTGTGTGTGTGTGTGGGTGCGCGCCGTCTCCTGCCCTCCCTCGCCTTCTTCCCTGCCCCCCGCTCCCGCCCTCTCAGCTTATTCGCGGTGCCTGCACCTCTCGTGACTGGTACTTTTTCGGCCTCGTTACCTGGGAGGCTTCGGCCGCTCGGGCCGGCCCGGTCGCCGCTCGGCAGCATCTACCTCGCTTCTCCTCCTGCCATCTCTCGCTCCCGCCGATCCTCGCGTTCTGGCCCTCGGCACTCTCTTTGGCGGCCCCCTCCCTTACCTCTGCTCTGTCTTGCACCCGCCTTGGCTTTGTCTGCCCAGGGGTCGATTGCGTTCGTCTCTCCCTGGGATCTTCAGGCCTTGCCACGCTGCCTCACACGGGGGCCAATTCAGTCTGGGCGTGCCCCTTCTATTGCCAATCTTCAGATGGGGCTCATCTACGCGTCCAAAAATGTGTGTGTGTGTGCGTGTGTGTGTGTGTGTGTGTGTGTGTGTGTGAGTGTGTGTGTGAGTGTGTGTGTGTGTGTGAGTGTGTGTGTGTGTGTGAGTGTGTGTGAGTGTGTGTGTGTGTGTGAGTGTGTGTGCTGGCCTCGGTTGTTTCGTTCTGTCCCCGCTCCCGCCATGCATTTGCCTTCCCTCTGGCCCTTCGTGCGTCCGCTGTCCACTCTCGCCGCCCCGGCCGCCGCTTCTCCTTGTCCGTCTTTGTCCCTCACGCTCGGGACTTCGCTGCACTCGCTTACCGCGGCCGCTACGTTGCCGGGCACGTGGCCGCCGTTGTTTTTTTCTATGCTTGTGCGTGTGTGTGTGTGTGTGTGTATGTGTGTGTGTGTTTGTGTGTGCGCGCGAACGTGTGTGTGTGTGTGTGTGCATGTGTGTGTGTGTGTGTGTGTCTGCGTCGCTTTCTCTTTCTCTCCCTCTCTCTCTTGCTCTTTCTCTATCCTTCCCTGCTTCGCTCTCTGCCTCTGTATAGGGCTCAGTCTTTCCATGTGTATGACAGATGTATATACGATCCAGACTTGCCCTTCCCCACGCATGTGGGATCTAGCCCCCCCCGCTGGATGGGTACGCACGTGAGCATCGCGAAGACCTCGCGGCGAATGGGATCGCTCCCCCCCATCTGGTCGTGGCCCTGTGAGCGTGGCGGGGTGGAGGGAGGACGCTCCGCTGCTTTCGCCGAGAGCTTTCCGAGACCAAGGTCTCAGGGCCTCACGAATGGGATCGTTCCCTCCCGCCTGTCGTGGCCCTGTGGGCGTGGCGTTGCGACGACGACGACGTCGTTATCGACGTCGACGTCGCCGTCGTCGTCGTCCTCCCCTTCCCCATCCCATCCGGGGTGGCTGTGGAATCCCAGGGCCCATCCCATCTGCGGGGGGCCTGTGAACCCTCGACCCGGGATCATGCATTTACACATCTACGCATTCAGGTGTGGAGATGTACATCAGTGTGTATATCTATGTGCACACAGATGCGTGTGTATACACGTATGCCCCCACGTAGCCTTTTGCTCAAGTCTGGCTCACGGCCAGGACCCTTAGGGCGCGCGGCCAGTGCCCCCAGCGCGCGCCCCGCTCCCGGGCAACCGCCGCGCGGCTGCCGCCCATGGCCGCCGCGCGCTGCCCCCGGGCGGTGGGCGGCGCGGACGCCGAGGACCCGCGCGAGCCGAGCTCGGCCACGCCGCCCCCGGCAAGGTGGGGGCACTGCGCCCTGCCGCACGAGGCGTCTGGGGGCAGCGTTGGGGGGGGGGGCTGAGTTTTGGAGCTTTGTCGGAAGTTTTCGAGGGATTCCGAGGCCCTGGGTGTTCCCATCAGCTGCGCCTCGTCGCGAGCGTGCGGGGGGCGCCCGAATCGTGCCGATTGGCCGCTGGAGAGTTGAGTTATGGCCCGAACGCCAGGGGGCAACTTCAGGGGGAGACAGGCTCAGGGGGGCGATCCATCGACCCCCAGTCGCGCAATCATCGCTGATGGGGATCCTCTGGTAGCCCACCCCGCCCAGTGCCGTGAGGATTCGCTCTCGGGGGCCCCTCGCCGACCCGTCGGCGTTGTGCGGATTGCCGGTTCCAGCTCGCCGTTCCGCGTCCGAGTCTGGCGACGAGGTGTGTATAGATCTCGTGGCCCTCCTGCGCTGGTCCCCGACCCATGGTGTGCCCCCTCGAGGCGTGGCTGCACAGCCGCGTGCAGGTCGTGGACGGCCTGGACGGGGTGGCTAGCAGGGAGCCCGCCGCGCGGCGCCGCGAGGGCGGGCGGGGCCTCTTCGTGAGCGGCGGGGCGGGCGACGCGCCGGTGGCGGCGGGCACGCTGCTGGCCGAGGAGGCGCCAGTGATCCTGGCCACCGACTACGCCGCGTTGGAGCGCTACCTCCTCGCCGTGTGCGGCGGCGCGCCCGGGGCGCGGCTCCCGGCGGACTCCTCGGTGGCGGTCCTGTCAGGCGAGAGCGAGGCGACCTTGAGGCACGCGATCCTCAGCCTGTGTCGGGTGCTGCCAGAAGTGCCCCCTGGCCCAAGGGACCCCCAGAGGGTTTCCACGGAGGCCCCCGCGGCCTCCAGAGCACCCCTCACGAGGCCCAGAGGCCTCCGGGGGCCCCAATCCAGGATGGGCCTCCGGGGGCTCCAATCCTTTGGCCAGGGGTATTCTTAGCAGCCCCCGAGCGTACGCCGGCCCGGGCGCGCAGGCCGCCACGGCGCGGCAGCGCGTGCGCGGCGTCCTCTCGCACAACATGCACAGCGCCGACCCGCTGCCGTGCGACGGCAGGCCGCCAGAGCTCGGCGGGCCCGTTGGGCTCTGGCCGACGGGCTCTCTGATGTCGAAGAAGGAAGCCCAGACCGCCATCTCCCCCTTCTTCCCCCCTTCTTCCCCTGCATCGCCACTGCTCCCCCCTCCCCCTCGCGGCTTCACCGCGAGCGACCCCGTGGATCCCCTTGTCGGCGCCTCCCCGGTCCCCGCGCCGCGTGACGTTAGGCCCGGCGGCGCGTGCCCGCCCGCCTGGCTGCCCACGCCGCGCCGCCGCTGCGCGGGGCCGCAACGCCTAAAAGAGCGGATCCATCCGTTTATACGCCTCCCAGGTTCGGGCCGGACGAAAGGGGGGGATTGGGAAAGGGGGGGTTACGAAATCTGCTGCATGCAGCTGGTTTTTCGGCCCCCCCGAGGGGCCCATTCCTCGAGACGTGGCCGCCTCCGGCGCCGGGAGGCGCCAGGAAAAGCAGCTGCGTGAGCTGATTCTCAATCCCCCCCTTTGCTATCCCCCCCTTTCGCCCGGCCCGATCCTCGGGGGGGCCCAAGAGGGGGGTGTCACCACTCACCAAACCACCCCGATCCAACCCGAAGGCCTCAAGCTGCCCTCCAATTCCAGTGGGGGGGGGGTCGGGGAACATTGAAAAGACACATGGAACCCGTACCCTCCCCCCCCTCAACCCGAAATTCGGGTCAAATTCGGGTTTTCGGGTTGGGTTGGGGTGGTCTGGTAGGTAGTCAGGGTGATGACTGGGGGGGGGGGGGATCTTATGGCTTGGGCTATGATGTTTCCTCAGATTTCATGGCGCTTCTTCTTATTTCGTTACGTCCCTGCTCCCCCCCCCAGGCCGCGCACGTGCCGCCAGCCATGATTTGCGCCCCCCCCCCCTCTTGGACGCCCGCCTCTCGGCGCCCCTTAAGCTCAGAGGAGGACGAGATATACCGATACCGCTGCTCGTCCTGGGGAGCCCTCGTCGCCACGGCTGGATTTTCTTCGGAGTTCTGGTGACGGGGCACCCCGGGAGAGGTCCAGGGAGTAGTGTTTTTCGGTTGCTCCGTTTTCCCCCCAGGAGCTCCTCGCGTCATGAAAACATCACGCTGGAGCTTTTGTTGGGCCGTCTTCGGTCTCTAGGGGCCCTCACTGGGCACCGGCACCTTTCAAGAACGACTCGGGATGGAAAGTCGGTCCCGAGCAAGTGGTCTATAGACCTCCAGGGGCGACGGTAGCAAAAATAGTCACGACGTCGAGGGTCTGGGAAAACGGCATCAGCAGACGTTTTCGGAGGTCCGTTCGGATCTCTCGGATTGGCCGGACCCCGCTGGCGGCGCATCCAGCGCCGATCCAATTCAAGAAATCCGCGCGGACCTCCGACATCTTAGTGTTAATGCCGTCACTTGTTATTTCTTCTTCTACGAATCAACCACAGCTTCCTCCGCCCGAACGTGGCCCGCAGCTTCGAGCAGAGCTCAAAGAAGTTGCAGCTGCGCGCCATCCGCGAGCTGCTGCCAGGCGAGGAGCTGCTCGACAACTACCTCGACTCGTGCTCCACTCACGCTCAGCGCTCCAGGGCCATGCGCGATCAGCACGGGTTGACAGAGCGTCGGGACGCGCTGGATTGGAGTGCTGGGCTCCTGGACGAGGCCTTGGAGGCTGCCGAGAGTGCCCAGGCGATGCTTCGCGGGTGGAGGCCTGGCCACGCCAGCAGCACCTCAGCCCTCCATTCGCTACTTGCGGTGCGAGACTCTCGGGGGCGGCAAAGAGGGGGGTGATGACTGGGGGGGGGGGTGGTTATCATGGCCTGGGCCATGATCTTTCGCCAGATTTCATGGCGCCTCTTCTTATTTCAATGCGTCCCTGGCCACCCCGCTGAGCCGCGCACATGCCGCCGGTCATGCTTTGCACCCCCCCCCTCTTGGACACCCCCCTCTTGGCCGCTCCCGAGACTCGGAGGCGGGCCAGTTAAGACAACCGTGGCATTCCCGCCCAGCACAGTTCCGCCCAAAGTCCGTCCCCCGGCGTCCATCCTGACCCGTTCTTTCGGGGCGGCCGTACCAGAGGCAGGTCGGCAGGCAGGAGGGCCACGACGACGACGACGACGACGACGACGACGACGACGACGACGACGACGACGACGACGACGACGACCACGACGACGACGACGACGATGACGAGAAGCCTCCAGGAGGTCCAGAAAGGACGAACCACGTCGGGGGGCGCCGCCGTTGTCTCCACCAGCCTCCCTCCGAGAGACAAGCTCCTGTTTCCGGGCAGCGGAGCCGGCGACGGCCGAGGGGCAAGCTCTCCGCAAGACCCGGCGCTCGCGCTCTTCTTCGGCGCGCTGGCCGAGGCGGCGTCCGCGGCGGGCCTGCCGGAGCTGGCGACGTCCAGCTGGGAGCGCGTCCTCGAGCTCGCCACCAAGCGAGAGCCCTTCTCCTACAGGTCGGGCGGGCTCAGGACCTCAGAGGATGAAAAGGTATCGATGCTGCTACCACTGCCTCGTTTTCGTCTTTTTGGGCCTCCCGGGAGGCCCTTGTCGACACGGGTGGATTCGCCTCGAAATCATCATCTGAACGCACTCCGGGCGAGGCCCGTGGAGTAGCAGTATCGGTTTTTTTTGGTTCCCCCAGGACTGGGCTGAGTTGCTCCAAATCGTTCCGGCACGCTCTCGGAACCTCCCGGATCGCTTTGGAGCGGCCGCGGCGCCCGGAGCATCCTCCAGAACCGCCAGATCTCAGAGATCCCCGATTTGTCGCTTCATCTTCAGAGGAAAAGCACTGGGATTTACACGAAACTTTCGGCGGACGCTGTTTTCTTGGATCGGCGCTGGACACCCTCTCCCTGGCGCTCGGAGTGCGTCAGGGGCGACGTCGGAGGCGCTGGCAGGGGGGCCGCAGCCGCGGAGCTCCGAAAGCTGATGTACATGCCGTTATCAGGGTGGTTTTGTAGCAGGATGGATTCTTAATGGAGTTCGTCGCGTTTTTTAATGCAAGCAGCAAGGTGAAACATTGGCGCAAATTTCCATCCGTCGGAACTGCATGACAGTCCACCCTAACCGTTCCTTTCCGCGGCCTCGCGGGCCAGGCCACCGGGCCGCGACCCCGCGGATACGGGGCGTTTTTTCGCGGAGGCCCCGCGCGGGATGTGTGCGTGCGACCGCGTTTCCGCGGAATCGCGCCCCGAAATCCAGACCGCGAGGGTGCAGAGACGGATGTGATGGTCCTTCATTTCTTTCGCCCATGCAGGGGGGCCATGGCCGCGGTACGCCTGGCGATCGTGGCGCAGCGCGCGGCCGCGGAAGCCTCCGCCCCGCCGGGGAGCACCCAGGGCGGAACGCCCGCGGCGGTGATGCCGCCCGCGCCCGAGCTGCTGGCGGCCGCGGAGCGCCGGCTGCAGGCCGCGCGGGAGCACTGGCGGGTGGTGTTCGGCGCCAGCGCCGGGGGCTGCGGCGGGGATGCCTTCGAGGCCCAGGGGCAACGTAAGGGGGGGGCGGCTCAGTGGGGGTTTCAGAAGAAAGGACCCACTGTGCCCTGCATCTCTCAGCTCCGCCTCCGATCCCATCGTCGAGGAGGAGAAGGCACCCATGCCGCCGCCCCTGCCTCGTCGCCGCGGGGCTGGACTCGCCTCGAGGTCTCTTTGTCCAAACGCACCTCGAGAAAGTTCCGGGGCCCTTTCGGGGAGTGGCGGTAATGGGGTTGCGGCAGGGATGCTTTCGAGACTCATGGGCAAGGTAAGGAGGGGATACGCTCAGGGCCCAGTCCCCCTGGCGTCGTGAACAAGTCATGACGGGAGAGTTTTGCGATTTTCCGCATTTGGGGGCCTTCAACGGGCCCTGCCCTGGTACCGTCAAAAAATCACACAGGATGAACAACTGGTCCCCAGGAAGGGGTCTAGACCTTTGAGGGTCCACGTCGCGCATCAATTCGCGTTTTCGATTGCCTTCATGGTTTTCGGGAGTTTGCGTCGAACGTTTACCCAGGGTGGTTTCCACCAGCTGCGCCTCGTCGAGATCGTTCCGAGGGTGCCCGCATCGTCCCGAACGTCCGCCGGAGAGCCGGCCACGTCGGGAGGTTCAGGGGCAACGTCGTGGAGGATAGGCTCCGGGCGGGAGGCATCGACCCCAACACGCGCACGCATCGCCGGTCGGGGCCCGACAGCCTGCCCCGCCGGGGAGCGCCCCGTGCCGCTGTCGGAGGCCTGCTCTGCCGATCCCATCGGCAATGAGTGCCGCCCCTCCCAGGCCGATGCTTCTCCCCCATCAGCACCCGCCCCCCTCATCGTCCCCCCTCCGAGGCCAGGAACCCGAGCCTCTTCCCCGGCTCCGCCGCGCGGGCGGCCTTCCAGCAGGGCCTGCCGTGGTGGGGCTCGGGCACCTGCGTCAACGACGGGCCGCGCCAAGGGCCCGGCGACGCCGCGCAGTGCGCTTCCGCAGGCGGACTGGCCGGGCCTCCGAGCGTAGAGCCGTCGAGCGTGGAGCGGTCGGGCCTGCTGCCAGAGAGCGACGCTGCGTGGGACATCTTCGGATGAGCCATGCAGCAGGCCCGCGGGACCCGCCAGGGCGCGCGAGGCGCATGCCAGAGGGGGGGGCCCATGTTCCCCAGGGCCTCGGCTGGGCTCGGCCTCCCCCTCCGCCTTCTCTTCCCCTCGTCCTGCCTACCCGCAAAGGTGGGGGGTAGGGGCAGAGGTGTGGTTAGAGGAAGGTCGCTCTAAAGGGCACCTGGAAGAAGGAAGTGTGAGCATCAGCTGGGTTCGTTCCCTAATCCCACCTGGGGGTAGCTACTCCCCTCTACAACGAGTCCCCGACGCCTCCTCCTTCCTACACGCACTGGTAGTGCCCCTTCAGAGTGGAACAGGTCTCCGGGTCTCGGAGGGTGCGCGGCGTGGCGGCCCCGCGACGCAGGACGCGGCGGTGGGCCTGTGTCGCTTTTCAGCGTCAGTCGGCGGTGCGCACGCGGGGATGGGGCGAGGCCAGGGACCCTCCCAAGACGCCAACATCCCTTCAAACAATCTATGGGCCATCCATGTTTTTCGCCTCCTCGCCTGCTCGCTCCGGATGGGCCTTTTGGAGGCCTCACGATGGCCCTGAGATGGCCCCAGAGAGAGGGAGGTGGCTGGCCAAGCAGGTAGGGGGCTTCTCAGCAGGGCTCGGGGACGCCTTACTGGGAAGCCCAGCCTCCCTTCCGGCCTCCGCTGCGCGCCGCTGATTCAGGGGTGCAGCCAGCGACGCTCCAGGCTTGGGGGCACCCGCGCTGGCTTGCAGGCTGGCGGAGGCAGTTGCGAGTTTGAGCTAGAGTAGCCAACCCGGAACATCCCTGATCGGGAACGGTGCTCCCGCCCGAGCGTCGGCCACAATTACACACTGGGGCGGGCATGGTCTCTTGCTTTGATTTTCCGGGTTGCCCGTGTGGTGGCAATGTTTTTGCATCCCTTTCCCCATTGTTTATTTCCCTCTTTGTTTTTTTTGTATTTGTTTTTGTTTTTTGGTTGTTGTTATTGTTGTTGATGTTGAGGTTGTTGTTTTTGATGTTGTTGCTGTGTTTGTTGTTGGTGTTGTTGTTGTTGTTGCTGCTGTTGTTGTTGTTGAGGTGGTGGTGGTGGTGGTGGGAGTGGTGGTGGTGGTGGTGGTGGTGGTTGTGGTGGTGGTGGTGGTGGTGGTGGTGGTTGTTGTTGTTGTTGTTGTTGTTGTTGTTGTTGAACATTATTACTTCTAAAGAATAATTATTGTTGGGGCCCCTGGTGCACGCCCCCCCCGCCGCGCCTAGGCCGCAGCCACATTTTCATAATTTTCGAGCGAAAGCCCTTGACAAAACGATGTGATCCAGATCCGGTTGTTTTGTTCCCCCCCGCTTTCCCTTGCAAAAAAACAATATAAAATGACATTTCTTGTTCTAACATAACCAAACTTCAGGAATCCATTGCAAAAAATGACACAAAGTGCACATTCGCGCGCGCAAGACGAAATCCTTCCAAAACCTTAGTTTTCGTAGCGATTGTATCATAAAAGCATCAAAAACCCAATGGTTTTTCAAAAAACAGTTGTGAAAATTCTATCCCGCGCGCTCTTGCGGATTCGTAGGAAACCCAACACTTTTTTAACATATCTGTCAAAAGGGCTTTTGCGAGCAACTTTTTCGAACTTCTGCAACAACGGTTGCGCACCTGCCAGGGCCATCATCCCTGTCAAATAATACCATGCGGGACACATTCGTTTTTTCTTCGCGCGCGCACGCCGTCGTCGTCGGCCGCGGGGCCCTGAATAGTAGCCACGGTCGTCCGCATGCCACGAAGTGAAGTGTCCGAACGTCATAGGGCGGGAAGCTGGGTGTGGGTGGTGGCGAAGAGTCGTTTGGAAATTTGGTAGAGCTTGAACCGGCCCCCCCACAAAGTGGGGGTATTGCCCGCCTCCTATGAAAACCCTGGCACTGGTGAGAACGGAGTGTCCCCACGTGCTAGTAATTGTTGTTGTTGTTGTTGTTGTTGTTGTTGTTGTTGTTGTTGTTGTTGTTGTTGTTGTGATTGTGGTTGTGGTTGTGGTTGTGGTTGTGGTTCTGGTTGTGGTTGTTGTTGTCGTCGTCGTTGGCGTCGTCGTCGTCGTCGTCGTTGTTGTTGAACATTATTTCTTCTTAAGAATAATTATTGTTGGGACCCCTGGTGCACGACCCCCCCGCCGCGCCTAGGCCGCAGCCACATTTTCATCATTTTCGTGAGGAAGTCTCAGGCAAAACGATTGGTACCGGATCCGGTTGTTTTGTTGTAATCCGTTTTCCCTTGCAAAAAACACTATAAAATGAAAATTCTTGTTCTTACTTGATCAAATTGCAAGAATCCCTTGCAAAAAATAAGGTAAAGTGGACATTCGTGCGCGCAAGACGAAATCCTTCCAAAACCTTAGGTTTCGTAACGATTTTAACATAAAAACATCAAAAACCCAATGGTTTTTTAAGAAAAAATTGTCAAAATGTCCTTCCGCGCGCGCTGTCCGAATCCCACAAAACCAATGGTTTTTCAACATTTATGTTACATGAGCTCGCGCGAGCTACTTTTTCTTGTTCTAACATAATCAAATTTCAATAATCCCTTGCAAAAAATAAGGTACAGTGGACATTCGCGCGCGCAAGACGAAATCCTTCCAGAACCTTAGGTTTCGTAACGATTTCAACATAAAAACATCAAAAACCCAATGGTTTTTCAAAAAAAAATGTCCAAATTTCATCCCGCGCGCGCTGTCCGACTCCCACAAAACCAATGGTTTTTCAACATTTATGTTACATGAGCTCGCGCGAGCTACTTTTTCTTGTTCTAACATAATCAAATTTCAATACTCCCTTGCAAAAAAAAGTAAAGTGGACATTCGCGCGCGCAAGACCAACAAAAAACACGACGATCTCAGGAACTTGCCCCAAAAATGTGACCAACTCCGCTCTCTCTGTCTCTCTCTCTGTCTGCTCTCTGTCTCTCTCTCTGTCTGTCTGTGTCATGTATTGTATGTCACAATTGCAGGATGCTGGGCACACGCGCGCCCCGAATAAGTGACCAAGTTCTGTGGGTGTGTACCCCACGCCAGTGTAGTAGCCACGGTCGTCCGCACGCCACGAAGTGAAGTGTCCCAACGTCATAGGGCGGGAAGCTGGGTTTGGGTGGTCGCGAAGAGTCGTTTGGATATTTGGTAGAGCTTGAACTGCCCCCCCACGAAGTGGGGGTATTGTCTCGCGTCGCATGAAAACCCTGGCACTGGTGAGAACACTGAGCGTTCGGGTAAAATGGTTGTTGTTGTTGTTGTTGTTGTTGTTGTTGTTCGTTGTTGTTGAACTCTCAATTCTGAAGAATAATTATTGTTGATCCCCCCTCACCAGTGCAGATTATTTTTTCTCAATCATTGTGTGCCCCTCGACGCTCGCACCCTGTTTTTTGTCAGGGAAAGTCTTGGTGCTGAAACTGGGCCCCTGGCCCCCCGGATTACAACAACAACGGCTCCCGCCTGAGACTTCCTCCAAATTTACTCAGGACCCCCGCTCCTGAGACTTCCTCGCAATTTTCTCAGGATCGGTGCTCCCGCCTCTGACTTGCTCGCAATTTAGTCAGGACCCCCGCTTCCATCTGAGACTTCCTCACAATTTGCTCAGGAACAGCGCTCCCGCTTGAGACTTCCTCGCAATTGAATCAAGACTTCCTCGCATTTTTATCAAGACCCCCGCTCCCGCCAGAGAACCCCTTTACATTTTATTTAGGGATTGCGCTCTCGCCTGTGTGCCTCCATGCAATCTATTGAGAAATCGCGCTTTCGACGCTCAGGCAACACGCTGGGCCAAGGACGCCGCTACAATTTACTTAGTAGTCGCGCTCTCGCCATACTCAGACATCCCGCTTGAATGTCCCACCCGCCCGACCCGCCCGTCAGGGGATCGCCCGCCCGTCGTGGGCTCCCGCCCGAGACTTCCTTCAGGAACGACGCTTTCGCCTAGGACTTCCTCGAACGTTCATGCTCTTACCTTCCTGCTCCTCCTCCCTCTCCCTCCTCCCTCCTCCCTCCTCTCCTCCCTTCTCTCTCCCTCCTCTCTTCCCTCATCCTTCTGCCTCTCTGCCCTATCCCCTCTCCCTCCTCTCCCTCCTCCCTTCTCCCTCCCCTCTCCTGCCTCCTCCCTGTTTCTTTTTCTCTCTCCCTCTCTCTCTCTCTCTTTCTCTACCTCTCTTATCGGTCTTTTTCGTTCTCTCTTTTTTTTTTTTTCTCTCTCTCTCTCTCTCTCTCTGTGCCTCTAATCAACCGCACCCCTCTTCGCATGATCCCGCGCGGCCGCGCAGAACAGGGAACGAGATCCAAGTCTGGCGGGCGCCACGTGGCAGCCCTGACGGCGGCGCCAAGAAGAATGCCCGCCACCTGACAACCGCACATCGCCGCTGCCGCGGGTGCCTAGCCCCGCCAGGGTCAGAACGCCAGCAATTGCAGCTGCCACTTGCCGCGCCGACCCTCGCGGCGGCGACGCGCCCACAGCGCTTAAAAATCAGCATGCGCGCGGCAACGTGCCCTCGATCGCCCCCCGTTCTGTGCCGTGCACCCAGCTTTTCGCTGGCCGCTCCAGGCCCGCGTCGCCGCGAACTGCGCGCCGCGCTCCTTTCCTTCGCCGTGTAAGAAAGGCTCGCGGCCGCGCGCGCCTCGCGCGAGCGGCGCTGGTCGCGTCGCCCCGTGCCCCGCTCGACGGTGGGGCCGTCGGTGCCCGCCCCCGCCGCCGCCCCTCTGCTGTACGATGCGCAACGTTGTTTCTTTGACGATGGATGCGGATGCGCACCTGACGCAGCGTTGGGGCTCGAGCGACACAGCCCCGATCATGAGCGCACATTTGGCAGGCGCGCCGCCGCGGCGGGCATTTTCTCGCACCTGTTTCGGGCAACGGCCCAGCGCGCTGCGGTTCGCGTTTCGCTGTTGGGCCGTTGTGAAAGGGCACCCCCCTTGAAGCACGCGCGAGGCAACTGCGTGTAACGCGCGATAGCTTGGAGCGGACGGGGCCATTTGGGGCCGTGGTGGGTCATGG